AAAATCCGACTTCTCCTTTAATTATACCATTATCACCATGCAAACACTGAGGCTTTAAAGTTACTGGTGGTCTGTTTTAGTAGCATTTTTCGAGTGGGATGAAATGGATGGAACAATACAAATATCCTGCCTCGCTCTGTCATCTTGAAGAGAGGTTGTAAGATTTTCTGTCTGTTTACTTGAAGTTTGCACTGCCAGAATATAAATGCAAAACAGTCAGTCATTTCGAGCACCTGAAGCAGATTTTAAAAGGCACTATTCAGAACTATTGATTACAAGCACTCTAATGTGTCTTTCATGCCAAGTCTGAATGGGAATATACAGAGCCCACTGGTTGTAGACCCTTCTCCTGCCCACAGGACCAGCTGCTAAGGCTAAGGAGAAGAGCGCACGATCTGCTGAGGGCAGTGTAGATCAAGTAGGGATCTCTTGGGAAGAAAAGATCAGGGCCCCAAACCATGGTAGGTCCCTCAGCAGGAGAGAATGTAGGGAGAGCTGCCAGAGTGAGTCCAAATGTTCACAGTCACATTGGGAGGCAAGGGTGCCCTGTGCCCTAAGGATGGGGAGGCAGTCAGTGACAGAGGACAAGGATGCCTGATCAGAGCTCTCAGACAGAAGTCAAAGTTTCTCCCCTCCACACTCCCGTCCCAATGCCAACTAAGAAGGCAGCTGAGGGAGAGGGGTTGGTTGACTGACAGCAAGCCCACATGTCAAAATGTTCACAAGCATGCCTTCTACCCAAAGTTGGTGCCTGCCCAGTTGGGGACATGTGGGTATGCTGGGAATCCACACCCAACACACAGGCCCATGGGGACATGCCATGGGAAGGCGCTTCTTACCAAGAGGCACCCACAGGACCACACCCTGCTGGGCATCTCCGGCTGTAGCCCAGCGCTGGGTGTGGTTCAGAGCGTGAGCTGTGGAGCACAGACCCACAAGCTCAGGCCTTGTCTCTGACTCCCATTAGCTCTGTGGTTTGGGGAAAGTGATTTATGCCACTCCAAACATCCACACTCCCATCTGTGTAATGGACTTAATAAAAATGCAGACTTTCATAAGGCTGACTAGAAATTAAAGGGAGTAACTCATGTAAAGCACTTAACAGAGACTAAAAAGGTCATGGCATTTGATTATTAGGACATCAAGTCAGTCCTCAGTCCTTTTATCCTCTCTTCTCACTTTCCTTTGCATATAGAGAACACCTAATATATAATTCCGAAATTCAGACAGCATTCCTTCGTCCTGAAAAGAGAACGGAGAAATAGGAGGCATGAGGAGGAAGTTAGGCAATCACTGAGGAACAAACACAAAGTGGGTAGAATCGTGCCTCTTCCTTTAGTAGTCCCAGGGCCTGCAGGAACCAGAGGAAATGATGAAGACATGCATGTGAACATGAGTGTGTATTACATGGAGATAAAGAATATGAGCACTTGACCAGAGCGTGATAAATGGAGATAAAGAAGATCTTATCTCCATTTATCACGCTCTGGTGACTTTGAGGGTGTGCTATATGAAGATAAAGAAGATGAGCACATGACCATGATCACGTGTTACATGGAGAAGATGAACACATGACCATAAGCATGTGTTACATGGAGATAAGAAGATAGCACATGACCCTGAGTGCACATTACATGGAGATAAAGAAGATGAACAAGTGACGGTGAGCGTGTATTCCATGGACATGAAGACGGTCACGTGACCGTGAGCGTGCATTACATGTAGATAAAGAAGACAAGCATGTGACTGTGAATAAGTGCTATATGAAGATAAAGAAGATGAGCACATGACCATGACCTTGTGCTACATGGAGATGAAGATGAGCTTGTGACTAAGCGTGTGCTACGTGGAGATGAAGAAGATGAGTACATGACCATAACCATGTGTTACATGAAGAACACATGTAGATGACGAAGACGAGCACATGACGGTAAGCACGTGTTACATGAAGAAGATGAGCATGTGACTAGGACGAGCATGTTTCTTGGAGAGAAGTGTTTCAGAAGAGCTGGACATGGAGATGGGGAACATCTGCTGTTGGAAGAGCTGCAAAGAAAGAAGAAAGTGAGCCTAAGGGTCATGGGCAGAGCACTCCAGGCAGATGGAATAGCCTGTGTAAGGCCTCAGATAGCAGCACAAGGGCGAGTTCAAGGCTGGTATAAAGACAAAAGGTGGACGTACAGGCAGTCCAAAGAAAAACTGGAGTATCTATTGGAGTGCAGATCCCTTGAAGTACAGGCTTTGCCCCTAGGTAAGTGTTCTAGGAACCCATTGGCATCACTGTATCAGCTAGCGTTGTTGTGATAGGCTGCATTCCACTCCAGTTAATTTTTTTGGATATTCTTTCAACATGCTTGCCCATTTCATGATGGGTGCTTTACCAGTGCAGCTGCCTACACCGTGCTGAGGGTTCAGCAGTTTTTGACTAAAAACAGCATGATCCCCATGCCCTACCCTTCCTATTCACCTAAGTTCACTCAACTGACCTTCTTTGGTTTCCCTAGATGAAAAATGTCCTCCAAGTGAAATGTTTTGTCGATGTAGAAGAGGTGAAACAAACAAACAAAAAACAGCAGAAGCACAAGTTCAAGCCATCAAAATTCACAAGTTCAAGAACTGTTTCGAGCAGTGGAAAAAGTGTCTTGATAGGCATATTGCTTCAAATAGAGAGTACTTTGAAGGATACTGAAGTTTAAGCATGTAAGAATAAATACACGCTTTTTTATAAATAAATTCCATTTTTGGGGGGACCCTCCTCATGTGTCATGATCTTTGCCCAGCACTGACAAGGGTCTCCAGGACACCTTCCTATAGGAGACAGGAAATGAGGACCCAGTGGGACTGAATCGTTTGGGGTCCAATGGATCAGTGATGATTACAGCTGAGGAACATAAGCAGTATCTATGCCAAGCCCTATTCTTTTCAGCACTTTTGGCAATTGCTTAAAGACACAAAGGCCATGCTTACCTTCTCGACACACAGCTACATACAAGCTCCTGGTCCCCAGAATCAAGACTTGGACAATCCCAACAGTCTGGTCAAAATGAATAACCAATTCATTGGTTCAAATTGCTTGAGGGGAAAAAGCTTTAAAAAGCTTCTTGGGCAACACCCTGGGGTCCCCTCCCACTGTGGGAGCTTTTCTGTCCTCTCAAGACATCCTGCTCTTAAAAAAAAAAAGCTTCTCAATGCAGATAGGAATCAGTTCAATTTTTAAATAATAAACCATACCCAAAAGGAAAAGATACTGTAACAGCCAAGAATGCAAGTTAATCACTAAAAGCAAAATAGATTATGAAGACCAATCTGCATAACAGGATTGTGGCAGCCAGTCAGTGATTCATGCCCATAATCCCAGCACTTTGGGAGGCCGAGGAAGGAGGATTGCCTGAGCTTAGAAGTTTGAGACCAATCTAAGCAACACAGCAAGACCTCATCTTTATAAAAAATAAAAAAATTAGCTGGTTATGACAGTGTGATGTGCAGTAAGCCAGACTACTCAGACTACTAATACTCAGACTACGAAGTACTCAGAATAGTCTGAGGCAGAAGAATCATCTGCGCCCAGGAGGTCGAGGCTGCGGTAAGCCATGATCCTACCAGTGCCCTTTAGACTGGGAGAGAGAGTAAAAACCTGACTCAAAACAAACAAACAAACAAATAAAACAGTGGCGATTTAGTGAAGGAGAAAGGTACCATCAGGGCAGAGGTCAAGAGAATACCATCGCGTCAGCTCAGGGTTCCACAGGGACAGAGGAGAGAACTCTTACTCAAGGAGTAAGAGTATTACCCAACAATACCGAGGACAATTAGCCTGGAATGGAGTCTAGAGGAAGCAGCAGCCTCAGTGATCCTCCATCCTCTGAAGAGCAGGAAGTAGAAGCAAATATGTTCTGTGTGGCTTCAGGTACCAGACCAGAACCAAGGGATGAGATGACAGGAAGACAGGATTTGGCTCAGCCTGAGAAAGCTCATTGGGAAACTTGGAACCATCCTAATACGAAGCAGGTGGTTTTACATAGTTATCCACAGTCCCTAACACATCCCAACCACTGCACTAAGAGTTTTCCAGCAGACATTATCACATGTCAATCCCACAACTACAACCTGTGAGTACAGCCACCATGACACCAGGACACTGTATTGAAACACTGAAACTCTGGTTCTGGTGCTCTTGCTGTTCTATTGCTTTTGGACACAAGTCACAGCCTGGTCCCTCCTCCAGGGCTTCCCTCTGTGCCCCACTCCCCACCCTCCCCAGCCCCCAACAGGGAGCCACAGGAGCTAAAAGGAAGAGCCCTCCTCCCTCTGCAGCAGGCAGGCAGGCCTCTCTCAGGCAGCGGAGGAAGAGTGAGACCAAGCACAGTCATCCTGTGTAGGTTGGGAGAAATCCAGCCCTGCCCATTCTGCAAGCAGCTCCACCCAGGGGCTTCCACAGTAGGACGGTGCTGGTAATGCAGGGGCTCCATGGCACCCCCACATGGAGGGACTGAGGCAAGAGACGCAGTGGGTCAGGAGCACCAGAGAGACCTCCACACCATGGGAGGTGGCTTTATCCTGGAAACGTTTATATCACCGATTTTTCCCCCAATGTTAGGAATCTTGAATGCTTTAAAAGAATATATCAGTAATGCCATCATGCTCCCTTATCTCAACCAATATGGCAACAGGCATAACTAATTCTAGATCACAGGTCAGAAATTTAGACAGCCTGCTCCAGTCCACAGCTCCCAAGGGGGAAAGGTGGGACTTGAATGCAGACTCCAAAGCCCATGCTTTGACCCCTGAACACTGGAGCGCCCTACTCCTGTTTTCAGAAAGGTTCCCTCAAATGAGCTCTAAGTTCCTTCCCTAAGTTCACATTTGTGACTACCTCAGGTCTACCCATGGTGAAGAGGCCAGCTCTCTGCTTCCTTATCAATATGAAATGAGCCCCAGGGATCTCTATCAGGTAGATGTCTAGGTACTCTTCTTGGCTCCATTTCAAGGCTAGGCCTTACCTTCGTATCTGCTGGGGGAATCACACGCTTTCTGTGGAGTGGCCACTCGGAGGAAAATCTGTTGCCTCCAAGAATGTCTCCGGGTCTTCACAGGAGTCTCCCCAGAGTTGCCAAGATGGTTTACTTTGGATTCAAAGTTCCTAAAATTATAAGATGATTGATTTATGATTGATGAGGAGATATTAATGGGGTTCTTTTTAAGCTAGACTTCTTGTTTCTAAACAAAGCACTAAATTATGAACTATTTTTGTATACACAAACACAGATAATCACAGAAGTTAAATCAAGCTCACGGTGGGTCATCACTCCTAAAGGACTGCTTTCTTACAGGATGCTTTTCATGAAAAGACCACAGTTACACACCCTGAAATGATTTCTATTGTAACAGATATTGAGAAATATGCTCCAGGCACACAGCAGACACTCCCTCCCTGTGGCTCTGCCTGTTTCGTTCTGAACACAACGAACCTTCTCTTTAATAAATCTACCTTTCTTCATTTAAAAAAAGAAAGAAATACACTCTGCATGTCATAGCTTCCAATTGGCTTCTCTGATGCCACTTAGAAAAGAGAAAGTGCCTAAAATGGGTACCGTCGGGGGCTCAGTCTGCCCTTGTATGAATATGGGATTATCTTCTCTGCACCAGCCTACATCTCCATGGACTGCCACAAAAAAAGTTTCAGTCTAATGTTAAAGAACCATCAAGGTAATAATTATGAAGTCACTTGATAACAATTGTTTTAACATTTGTATTTTCAAAACTACAAAGTGTAGTTATCAAGGTATACACACAATCTAACCATTTATTTTTTTCCCTATTCACAGGTCAACTCGGGAAGGCCCTTGAAACTTACACCCGTGTACGTTACCACCTCTAAGCAATAGCCTTCACTTACAGATCAGACATTCTGACATATGATCTGACATCCTAGGTGACTTTAACCCAGATACGTTCACATCATTGATTTTTTCCCCCCAATATTATGAATCTTGAATACTTTCAAAGAATATATCAGCAAGACATCATGCTCCCTTATCTCCAATATGGCAACAGGCATAATTAATTCAGGTCACAGGTGAGAAATTTAGACATACACTCCCTACACTCACTATCTAGAAACACTGTTCTTGGTCAGAGACTTGGTTAAGACTTTTTTTAATCTTCTGAAGGTAACAGTACATTAATAAACAAATCCTTGTCAAAACTGGAGAACAGATAGCATATTCTTTTAAATGACATTCAATAATGACAAAGGAAAAGAAAGAACAACGGATTTAGCTAAAATGATTTCTTTAAATGGCAGAACAAAAGTTAAAACATCCTTGTATACCTAACAATATTCAACACTTAGAACACCCATGCTTGATATATCTAAATTAAACCCTACCTTTTCGTGTTCATAAAGTCAGAGGTGTTATTTTCATCTACAGGAGCCAGAAATTTTAGAAAATTTGGCACAGAGGAAGAAGAATGAAGTTTTTTCCGCAGGGCATTACGGTAGGAGATGCTGAGAGTTTGGTTGAAAAAGAGTTTAGGATAAAGAAACAAAAACACACAAGGTATAAAACACAAGCTTCAAAATAAAAGAAACATTTCCATTCTAATGCTAGGTAAACCAGGTAAGAAATTAAAAACAGTTCACAAATGAATTTTAAGTTTACTTTCAGACAATAAAATTTGATATTAAATGAATGGAATCAATAAATTAATTTTTAAAATTCAGTCCATCTTCCGAATGGCTTTTTCTTTCAAATAAAAAAAAATATTTCCTAAATTAATCAGGAAGTTTCTGATACGGCACAAGGTACAGTATACACAATCAAACACAGAGGCTAAGCCGTGTAGTGTGCACATGCATGGGTGTCCATTAGGGCGAGAGAATGTGAACATAGTATATAAAAACAGTTTGCCACCAAGACCTGTTTTCATAGTATTTTTTTTTTTTTTGAGCCAGGATCTCCCTCTATTGCCCAGAATGGAGTGCAGTAGCACAGTTGTAGTTCTCTGCAGCCTTGATTTCCTGGGCTCAGATGAACCTTCCGCCTCAGCCTCCTGAGTAACTGGAACTACAGGAGCGTACCACCACACCTGGATAATTTTTGTTTTTTGCAGAGATGAGGTCTCATTACGTTGCCCAGGCTGGTCACAAACTCAGGGCTCAACTGATCCTCCTTCCTTGGCCTCCCAAAGTACTGGGAATACAGACATGAGCTACCATGCCCGGCCTTCATAATAATTTTTAAAAATTTAATCAATAGTAAAATTAAGTTGATTCAAATAACAGCTGGATAAGAGACCAACTATAAACAAGAACACACACACACACACACACACACACACACACACACACACACACACACACACACACACACACACGCGTGGTGGCTCCGGCTTCCTGAGGGACATCCCCCCCGTGTGGCAACTCCTTGCACATAAGTGTAAGATCCCCAGGAAGACAGACAACACTGAACTTGCCATGCGAGCGGGCTCACCTCTTCGGCACAGCATTCCCACTGTGCTCTCCGCTGCAATTATGTTTTAGGTATTTAAAAAAGTTGGGCGAGGAGGCGGAGGGATTAAGACGAGGTGGAGGGGCAGGAGCAGAAGACGGGGCTGGGCACCGCGTAGACTCGCCTGTAGGCAGAGGGTCCACACTAGACAGCAATCAGAGAGAGCCGAGGGGTTAGCGGCGAAGGAGGGCCCCGATGGGCACTGAGCAGACAGAGAAGGAACAGACAAAGAAAGAGAAAACCCGCTTGTCTCCTCATCCCCACACAACTGTAGAGAGTAAACCTCTTTCTACTTTTCTCCCTCATCGCTGTTCTCTCTCTGGCAAAGATCATTTTCAGTAAAAACAAACAAACAAACAAACAAACAAGAGTTTGTCAAAGGCCACTCCTGACCAATTCCCACCTGTCTACGTTCCCACTCATACTTTTTTTCCCTCTACCCTCTTTTTGGGAATTGACAGGAAAACATAGGGAAAAAAATTAAAACAAAACCAAAAAAAAATAAACAAAAAAACCCAACGTTTTCAAAATATATTTCTTTTCAAAAGGATCCATATCCTGTCCTGAACTGCAATATCTTGTTTCTTGTACATGGAGAGTGTTCCCGAGAGGACAGGAAAGCAGCATGGCCGATGCTAGGCAGACAGACAGACAGGCATGTCTCTACCGCCTTCATCGCCGGTGTCCATGATAAAGCTACATTCTTAGGGGAGAAAGAAGAAGTACTGATACTAAGTCCTACCACCTCTGGCTTGTGAGAAATGGCAGACTTCACAAGAGAACTAGAACTGTCCAGATAGGAATGTTTCCACGATCACAGAAAATGCCAGAAACATGGGTAAGGTGGAACAGATACTGCGCAGACAGGGTGTTAAGAAATGTGACATGAAACTTACACAGTTACAGCCAAACCACGCTTATTTCTAAGATGTCACATTTGTTCAATATTTGCTTTGGCAGTAGGCTCTGCTTTTGTGATTAGTTATCTAGCCGAATTCCAAAGAACCAAGAACTATTTTCAATGGTTGACTATAAACAAAGCTGAGCAGCACTGTGATGTCATTTGGAATTGTGCTCATCACTTCACTGGAAACGTCTCCAACACTGCAGTACAGACTTGACCTCTGAAACTCTCTGTTATCCAGGAATGGGCCATGTGGACACATGTGTCCTGTGACGTCTGCGGATGTCAGTCAGAGGAACACAGCAACTGCATGTAAGTGTGGCCCAAATCCATACTTATTAGATGAGGCATTTTTAAGGATTTTTAAAGTTATTTTATTTATTGTATTTGTTTAAGTTGGAGTCTCACACTGTGGCACAATCACGGCTCAAAACAACCTCAACTTCCTGGGCTCAAGCGATCCTTCTGTCTCAGTCTCCTGAGTAGCTGGGACTACAGGCAAGTGCCACCACACGCAGTTAACTTTTTTATTTTTATTTTTGTAGAGACTAGTCCTTGCTATGTTGCCCAGGCTGGTCTCGAGCTCCTGGGCTCAGGCAATCCTTCTATCTTGGCATCTCAAAGTGTTGGAATTATAGGCGTGAGCCACTGTACCGGCCTAAAGTTATTTTTATTTTTTTTATTTTTTGAGTTGGAGTCTGACTCTGTCGCCCAGACTGGAGTGCAGTGGTACACTCCCGGCCACCGCAGCCTCGACCTGCTGGGGTCCAGCGATCCTTCCGCCTCAGCCTCCCAAGTAGCCGGAACTACAGGCGTGCGCTACCACACCCGGCTAATTTTTGATTTATTGTAGCGATGAGGTCTCGCCAAGATGCCCAGATGGGTCTCGAACCCGCGGGCTCAGGCAACTCACTCGCCTCAGCCTCCCAAAGTGCTGGGATTACAGGCTGAGCCACCGAGCCTGGCCTAAAGTTATTTTTAAAGATCACTCTGTGTCCATTTATTGTCTCTGGCACACAGGGTTAAATTAATTGCTACGGGACCCTTGGATGGAACAGAAAGAACTTCTGATTATCCTTCTCTAAACCAGAAAATGTCAACTGTTCATTTCAGCCCAACTCCAATGAAATTAGTCAATCTTGCTAGAAGAGTCTAGAATTCCTAATGAAAGAGATTTTAGAAAACATATACTCCAATTTTGTTTTACAGAGAAGTTAATTTTCCCAGGTCACAAGTAGCTCACAACAGAGCCAGGATCAGATTCTGAGGCTGCCAGGTCTACCCACATGACCCTTTGAGGCCAGCTCGTTCTACCTGCTCGGCTAGTTGGGATCGCTATCTCACCATCCCACCACAGCTCTGTTCCAAGTCTTCCAACAAGGAAAACCATCTGCTCACACACTTGATGGTTTCCTTGCTAGTGGCAAGTCCCACAGTCAATAATGTCTCTTACAGCATTGAGGAGGCATTCTGATACATGTTGGGTGCCACTTTTGCTTACCTTCACCTGCTTCCTGATGCTACTTGTACCAGTTACAACCATCTCCTCTATCTACGGATTTCCTAAGGGAACTGGGAAGGAATGTAGCACTGCGTCAAGTTTTATCTTGTGAAGCCAGGAGTAGAGCCTGACTCATTTCTCTTTCAGCAAGTCCGTGTGCCCGGGATGTACATACCTGGCTAGCCACAGATATGCCCCAGCTATTTAAACAACAAATGTAAACAAATCTTACTTTCGGTCATGAGGCGTCTCTGTGCTCACTGAGTGATACCTCACAAGTTTCCTCTGTGAGACCCCTGGAGACCCCTGGGCAGGTTCCAGAGGCTCCTGGCATTCCACGGGAAGATGGCTCAGGGTGTTGGCTCGCCTCCGGAAGGCCTGCTGGGGTGACAGTGGGGCAGGCTCTTCGGGGAGATGGCTCTCAGCATCCCTGGACAGGTCATCTGAGGAGTCGGGGAGTTTGAAGGAGCTCTCAGAGACTGGCAAGGCCTCCTTCTCCCACATGGATGGCTCCTGGTGGTAGACAGACAGCAGATCAGACACACCACACATGGAGGACTTTGTGGGATCTACAGATAATTAGGCCCGGTGCTGGAAAACATTTCACTAAGCCCATCTTGTGAGGATAATGACATCTAGAGGCTGCTGCCCAAAGTGTAAGAAAATAAAGGTTCATCAAATGTCTGTTCCTTAAAGACAAGATGCTGCTTTGCTGGAGAAATGGGGACATGGCCCAAGTACAAAAGCAAAGGACAAAACACACAATATATAACTGTTCTGGGCAATGCCACAAATAGTTCCCACTCTCTAGAACACAGGACTCTTAATAGCTGCTTATAAGAATGAGTGGGCCAGGTGTGGTGGCTCATGTCTACCATCCCAGCACTATTATGAGGCTGAGGTAGGAGGATCTCTTAAGGCCAGAAATTCGAGACCAGCCTGGGCAATACAGCAAGACCTCACCCTTACAAAATTTTTTTTTTAATTAACCAGGCATGGTAGCACACACCTGTAGTCCCAGCTACTCGGGAGGCTGAGGTAGGAGGATCATTTGAGCCCAGGAGTTTGAGGCTGCAGTGAGCTATAATTGTGCCACTGCACTCCAGCCTAACAGAGCAAGACCCTGTTTCAAAGAAAACAAAAACAAAAACAAGGAAGCATGAGCGCTTCACAACTGGTCTCCACTGCTTAATCAAGTTCCTTATCTTTGCCAAGAGTGTTCATACATGTTACACTCATACTTTAAGGCTCTCTGTGAACGTGATCTATTGCTGAGATTTAACTTGATAATCTTGAGACTCAAAACTCTACCAATATTCTTAGAATATAGGAAATCTCTCTCTGGGCACTTCTTGCTGTGACTCAGAAGAAATCATTTAACATCTTCCTATACCTCAATTTTCTCATCTGTAAGGGGTAAACAGTTATATCACCGAGTTTCAAGAACTAAGGAAGATGATACAACCAAAAGTACTTTTTATGCTGTAAAATGCTATACAAACAAACGTTATTCTTTTCTTAAATATTCAATAAATTGACATTTGTTGAGAATCATGACAATATTTGAAAATTGCATGCTTTCCTGACACAGGCTTTTGAAGAATGAGCTACTATCACTCATGCAAACTGGTGCTTAGCACTGCACCCTGGGTACAAAAAAAAAAAAAATAAGAGGAAGTATATCATTTTGCCCCTACCGACACGCTAGATGGGATAAGTAAGTCAACATGAATAGAGCAAAAATGCATAAGTGCATCTAATAGTGGTCTAGAGAATCTAAATTCTGTTTATTTGATGCACAGTTAATTCTAGATGACAGGTATTGAGGATTTTAATTTGAAAAAATTAAATTTGTTTATTGCAGGGAGAGGTCATATACATTTAATTTTATAGAAATTTGACAGAAATAGCTTAATTCCTATCATACTATGAAATATTAACTACTTTTATAACAAATTTTCATTCTTCAGGACTATCTATTTCTGAGGATTCTTTTAGGAATTTAAAATTTTTTCTGAGCTGGGCATAGTGGCTCATGCCTGTAATCCCAGTACTTTGGGAGGTGGAGGTGAGAGGACTGCCTGAGTCCAGGGGCTCATGATCAGCCTGGGTAACTTGGCAAGATCTCATCTCTACAATAAATCAAAAAAATTAGCTGGACATGATGGCGTGCACCTGTAGTCCCATCTACTTGGAAGGCTGAGGGGGAAGGATCGCCTGAGCCCAGTAGGTCAAGGCTGTGGTAGCCATGAGCATGCCACTACACTCCAGCCTGGGCAACGGAGTCAGATTCTGACTTAAAAAAAAAACCAAAAACAAAAACATGTCTGAGACAAACACATCACAGAAAGCAATCTCCATCACGCAAACTGGTTCATCTAAATTCTTATTAACATCCTTCCAAATTATGTGAAATAGTTAACCCTTAGCTTAATTTGATAGCCAAAAGGGCCACTTTCAGTTGTCAAATTTCAAGGCTATCCAGCTTCTCTGCCGTCCCCAGAAGACCAATTAGAAGGGGTTCAATGATACAAAATAGCATCTCTCTATGGTAGTCTCTCCATCTGGGATGAAGAAAAGGCAGAGATAAGGCATGTACGGAAAGATACACAGTACGTGTAGGTGGCTTCCAAAAGGCTGCATATCTCTCAGAATTACCCTAGAAAATGAAGCTATGTGTATATTCCTAGATCTGCATTTTGGAGAAAAATAAAAAGCAAGCCCATTAGACTTACTGGAAAGTCACCTGAGTGACATGATTTCTTTCCTGGTGCCTTTACTGACACTGATCTATGTGGAATGCTTTCTCCTCTGTTCACTTCCGTGGGCACAATGCCTATAATTTCTTCGAGATTTAATTCCAAAGCATAATTGCCTTCTTTCCCCAAAAGTCTTCCCTGGTTCCACTGACCAAACCTGACTTCCCTTCCCCTTGCTCCTCTGCCATCTAAGTCCCAGCTGCTCATATTTGTAACTCCCCAGAGTGGGTTTGCAGACAGCAGAATCGCCTGGGAGCTTGTCAGATATTTGGCATTCCAGTTCCCAGGCCTCCTTAACCAGAATCTGCACTTTAACCAGAACCCTTTGTGGAGGCTCTTGAGATCTGAGAGCCACTCTGCTAAGGAGCTGTTTCTCAAGTTGCACACCTTAACACATTAGTAGGCAGTACAATTTAGTAGCTTAATGTGAGCATTTTAAAAATAAAATAGGATACCTGGTCCATTACCAGGGAAGAGAGGACCAGCTAGAAGCCCGAACTTCACCTGCATACAGCTTACTTATGTAGTAAATCCTCACTTGTTTCCCCAGAACTCTAAAATAAAAGTGTGTAACTGAATGAGGAAAAAAATAAAATAAAAAAGAACAAAATACCAGAATAAAAGAAAACAACAAAATGGCAAAGGTCTTTCTCTTTTAGAAAATTATTTACATATTCATGAACTAACCTTCCTAATCCAAAGACATAAATTGAATAAAGACTCTTAAAAAATAAAAGTAAAATAAAATAGAACAGACAATACCAGTATGTATCATATGCTGTTCATAGTAAATACTGTCTTGTGAACTTTTCATTTAATGTGGGAGTGTGTAGGCATGTGTGTCTGTGAGCTATGTCAAAAAGTTAAATGTGCTTCTTACTCCTGGCTACGGTCTAAAAACTCCTAAAGCCATGTGTCTAGGAGGGACCACAGAAGGATTCACACCTTTCCTGAGGTAAAGACCTGACCCCCAAGACACGCCTACCCTCACAACTGCTATAACAGCAGAAGGAGAAGCTGGCCCTCCCAGCCCCAAACTCAGATCCATTTTTTGGTAATTATCAAGCTGAACTAACCAGGCTTAAGTATGCTTCCATTCTCAAAAGCATGTGATTAAAACAGGACACAGACACAGATTTATTCTCAAAGAGAACTGTTAGCTTACTCATGATCACAAAGCTGTGCTTGGTGGCAGACATCAGGGGTGAAGTTTAGCCGCTTATCTTTTTTTTAAAAAAAAGCTTAAAAAGGAAAGTTTAATTATAATCATAGAGCTAGCTACAGGATAAAGTTTCAGAAATTTAAGTTGCATATTTCTCTGATTCCACAAAACCACGCAATTCTTTTTTATTATTGGAGAACCTATTTCAGAAAGAAATCCATTGGATGCTCTGAGCAAATTAGATCATAGCCATCTAAAACTGTGATACTGGATCTATCTTGGTTTATGGAACAACCAACGGCTTTTCTATGAAATACCTTATGTTACAATAGAACTACATGGTCAGCCCTGTGCCAAGAAATCTGAAGGCATCAGACTTTAAACGGCTGCTGGAGGTATGTAGACAGGAAATGAATAAGACTTATTTGCTGGTTTCTTTGGGGTGTCATAAAGAAAAGTGTGCTTACTTTGCTGGTGTTTCTTAATGTACTAGACACGGAGCTGTCCAGATCCACGCTGGTGGAATGTTCCTGCAGGCCTCTGGCCTTATTACCCTACATGAAGAAAAGGCAGTTGAGTTACGACCCTGGAGGCTTTAGCAAAGGTATTGGTCAGAAGCATCTTGGTCTACTTCGGTAAGCTCAGGAGAAAAGCACCAACTAAGATGCTGCTAAGCATATATGTACATTAAGACAATCAACATCTCTGTCATTTTTTGTTGTTTTTTTTTTAAGTAAGACACCAACTTAAATGTCCCAAAATGCCTTGTGGATGAGTCACTTGGCAGGGATGACAGGCAGGAAGAAGAGACAATTTGTCAATGAAAAAAATCAACTGCTCGAGCAAGACCACTCAGCGACTCTTTCCCCAGGTCACCCGTCATAACCGGCCAGCTGTATGTCACTCAGACAGTGTTCCTTCTATTCCTTCGGGAGTTATCAACCACAGCCCCTTCCAACCCTGGCTTTGTAAATGAACTGCTTTTCATGATCTTAGAGATGTTGCAAAATTCTCAGAAACATCTTCAAACAAAATAAAATTTAACTTTCTTTTAAAAAAATAAAGTAAATGCTTCAAAAAATTGAAAAGAACCATGAGAAGGTATCACACGCTCCAGAAAAGTGTTAAATTTTGAAAATGAAAAATATGATTTCTCAGATGTGCCATCAAGGTTTTTTAAACTCATGTGGGGAAGGGGCAATTTCTTTTTTTTGAGTAGGAGTCTCACTCTGTCGCCCAGACTGGAGTGCAGTGGCCGCTCCCGGTCACCGCAGCCTCGACCTGCTGGGCTCCGGCAATCCTTCCGCCTCAGCCTTCCGAGTAGCCGGAACTACAGGCATGCGCTATCATGCCCGGCTGATTTTTTGACTTACTGTAGAGATGAGGTCTCGCCAAGTTGCCCAGGCGGGTCTTGAACCTGCGAGCTCCGGCAATCCACTCACCTCAGCCTCCCAAAAGCGTGGGATTAGAGGCTGAGCCATCGAGCCTGGCTTGGGGTGATTTCTTAAAGAACTGGAGCATACATGTACTCTGTTCTTCATGTAGAGCTGTAGTTAGCAAACATTTTCTGTGAAGCTCCAGATAGCAAATAGTTTATGCTTTATGGACCATATGGTATCTGTGGCAACTATTTAACTTTGCACAAAAGAACCCTTAGATAACAGATAAACAAATGGATGTGGCTGTGTTTGAACAGAACTTTATTTTCAAAAATAGAAGGTGGGTTCCAGAGACCTGTCAGTAGCAGGTGACAGCAACTGGTATTTTACGTCATCTACAGAAAGAACAGGACCCACACCTCAGTGTATCAACTCTGTGCTCTTTACAGGAACTGGACAAAAAATAACATTCTTTCAGGATGCAAAAAAAATTCCATGGGATATAACACCAAAAAGTGGATTTTTTTTTTTTAAAGCCTAGGCCAAGTTACAAATAATTCATAATGCAGATAACATCATTCTAAGACTGAGAAGACATAAAAAAGGGTTTATACTTCATGATGAGCATGGATAGAATGAAAACATAGAACTGAACACTATACTGTCTTAAAAGGTAATTTAACTTACAGCAGGAGAAATTATGCTACTTACCCGGGACAAAATACTTTCTAAAGACTCTGTTAAAGATCTCTTCGCTTTGTTTTTCAGCATATCGAGCCTCAGTCGAGTGGCACTGGGTGGTAATTCACTTCCAATATTCTCCGCTGCGCTCTGCGGTGTCTAAAAAGGAGAAAGGATGAAAAGTGAAGTCACGGAGTGAGAATTCTCTCTTTTTGGCACCGAGCAATCCTTCAGATTCTGTCTGTGACTGTGACCCTATCTCATCTGCTCTTTAGTGATGCGGCTACAAGTCTAGGAAATAATTGTGCCTCAAAGAGTTGCTTTGACTATTCCAAATGAAATGAGGCAACGTGCTTTGAAACCAATCAGCTCAGGCTCTCCAATAGTATCAGAGATCTGTCATTTATTAATGAGCCCTCATGCAAGTTTCCTACTGTCTTTGAGCCTCAATTTCCTCTCCAGTAAACTGAGACCAACAACAAAGTCTAATCATAAAACTGTGTAGTTAGATTAAAACAGGTAGAGTATGTTAAGTGTTGAGCACAGCATAGCTATTATTAGCTTTTCAAAATGAAGCAGTCAACTTACCTTCTGGGACACTTTGGAGGATGAGACAAAATACATTTGTCAACTGCCTATACTAATCCCTTCAGCCCATTTTATATATCTCTGTCCTCCCTGTTTATTCTTCCTCCTGCTTCTATTGTTCCCGTCACTCTTTCGTTCCCCTTTGCAACCAAGCTTCTCTTCCTTAACTAACCACAACATGAAAGGGAAAACATCATGGAGTTTGCTTGACAACTGCTAAATGAAGCTTAGTGTTACTTATTAACAGGGACATATGTTTAAAAAGCAAACAAACAAAAACAACAACAACAAAAACTACATGGCTGGGAGCAGTGGTTCACACCTGTTATCCCAGCACTTTGGGAGGTCAAGGTGGGAGGATCACCTGAGCCCAGGAGTTCGAGACCAGCCTAGGCAACACAGAGAGACATCACCTCTGCAAAAAATTTAAAAACTTAGCCAGGCGGGATGGCATGCACCTGTAGTCCCAGCTACTCAGGAGGCTGAGACAGAAGGACTGCCGGAATCCAGGAGGTCAAGGCTGCGGTGAGCCGTGATCATGCCACTAGGTACTCCAACCTGGGCGACAAAGTGAGACCTCAACTCAAAAAAAACCCAAATAAAATTAAAAACTACAAAAAAAAATCTCAAAATTAAATTGTGTCTTATGTAGATTCTCAGCTGACTGCTTCCTGCTAGAGGGTGATTCTGTTAGACAAACAAACAGAAAAATCTCCCAATACTCCAAACACCAATATATTCTTTGTTGTGGTTGTTAAATATTTTAAACGTACATAAAAGTGTTGAGACTAAGATGGCAGACACTTTTGTGCTACCATTTGGCTTTGGTCAAGTTAGCATTTGCAGGTACTGGGAACAGTGAGGCGCCCGGCTCGGAGTGCAACGTCCAGGAGAAATGTGCCCCTGCTGTTCTCTGGCTCTGATCCAGGTCATCACTTGCTGTCCCTCTCAGATCCCTCCACATTCCCACTCCCCACAGCTTTTCTTGCAGAGCTGTTATGAGATGTAGATAAATTAACAGACATTAAAACACTTAGAACATACTGGATCCTTAGCTGTCACGACTCATCTCTCTTGTGCTTCCTACTTTTTTTTCTTTTTTTGAGACACGTTCTCACTCTGTCACCCAGGCTGGAGTGCAGTGGCGGGATCCTAGTCCACCACAGCCTCAACCTCCTGGGCTCAGGTGATCTTTTTTTTTTTTTGGTAGAGATGAAGTCTTACTATGTTGCCCAGATTGGACTCAAACCTAGGCTCAAGTAATCCTCCTGCCCCAGCCTCCCAAAGCACTAGGATGACAGGTGTGAGCCACCACATCTGGCTTGCTTCCTACTTTTAATCGGAAACATTATGGACATCCTTGAAGCTTCCTGACCACCATTCCTTTCCCCCCACCCAATCATATGCAGAAATAACCACTCTCCTGAGTTTGGTGTGTATCCTATCAAACCATGTTTTGTACGTGTATATGTCTATGTGTATCCACAAGCCACACACAATGGTTTGCATGAAGTTGAAACTAAATGGATAGTTTCATATGTGCATAGCCTTATGCAAATTCACTATTTTTCTTCCAGCGCTGTTTTTGAGATTTATCCATGCTGACAAACATTCTTTGATTCACTCTCTTTAGCCAGAGTGCAATATTCCACTGCATAACTCAATTTAGTCATGTTCCTATTGTTAAACATTTATTCAGTTTTTGTTGTTATTGTCTGTTTTGCTCCTACAAAGGAGACCACAGTGGCCTCTCTTTTGCAGAGCTCCTTGTATGCTCATGTGAAAGATTTTTGAAAAGGAAATAATGAGGACTATCCTTGCTGGTCTGTGGGATGGCACCTCTTCAGCTTTACCAGATACCAGCAAGCTTCCCTACCCTAAAGGGCACCGGTTTATGCTCCCAGCATCAGCATAGGTGAGTTCACCTTTATCCAGCACTGGCAATCTGATGGGTATATAATGTTCTCCCCAAATGCCTTCCCCTCATTCTATTGCTATAAAGCATTATTTTATTCAATAATCTACTGTTGAAAAGGCTCTGTGACTTCTTTGAAATAATAAATCCTAATTCATCAATGAATATTATACATGTTTCAAGGCAGAAAAGAGAACCGATTCTCATTAAGAGCTATATTTGTCTTTGTCCAATGATCCATCATTTTACTTTTATGAGAATTAGAACATGCATCAAAGGAATGGTAACACGCTTGGCAATTCCTTTGAGAAAAGCAACATCTTTTGCCTTTGCGTTTTCATACTACTAAGAATACTCTGGACACGTAATACTGGCTTGCTCAAGAATGAGTGTATGAGCAGTGAAAACCGGGCTAGTCTATGGAAAATACAAACCCATGGTAATAGAGACTCATGGGGTAGATACTGACACAGTGCCTGCTAAGTGCTGTGCCCATGGGCAGGCATCTTACTAGCTGCAATTGGTCTTGTGCAATCACTGATCAAGTAAAAGGGCCTGCCCGGCCTTGAAGGAAAAGGGAATTATCCACCAAGGGCCCCAAGGACTACCTTCCCTCAACACCAATTTACTCACAAAGTTCCAAAGCTGTAGAACTGCTTTCAGACTCTAAATAAAGTTTTCATAAAACTGGAGTAAACGGAATTGATTGTTTTGATATAAAATATTGGCTAAAAGACTAAAGAGAGCAGCATCAGTTAGGAAATCCCACATAGACAGAAGAAAAAGTACATTGGTGCGTGTTTTGGGACCAGGCCTGAAGAACCCGTGACATCATTCAACGTTTCTTCTGTGCTCCTCTGCCATCCAAAAAGATTTCTGTCTGTGTCTCTGGCCATAATTCAAATGTAATTTGAAAATAATTCACATTGAGAAAGTCATTCACATTTAGAAAGTGACATATTCCTTATCTATCTTAAAATAAGCCTCTAGAAGTTTCTCCTTTGAAGATGATGCTGGTGCCTAGACAGTTATTTCTATTTTGCGGGCTCCACAGTGACAGTCTGGAGACACGTTTTAAAATCTGATGCGACACCAAAAATTTTCAGTTCAGAATTTCCCATCCTGTGTTGGCACAATGTATCTACCCACAGTCTTATTTATAATAAAGTAGATCAAGTGCTCATCAAAAGAAAGGAGAAATATACTGGGATATAAACACAAGGAAATAGAAAGAAATAAACTACCAATACAAGCAACAGTACGGAGTCTTAGAAACACTATGCTAAGTGGAAGAAGCCAGAACTGAAAAAGTACGTACTGTATGCATCTATCTATTAGAAGTTCTAGAACAGGCAAAACCAATCTAGGGTTTAAAAAGAAAAAAACTCAAGGGAATATTTTTTGCCAGTGAGGACTGACTGAAAAAGGCATATGGGATTACTTTTTGGTGTAATGAAAATATTCTATATTTTGATAGGGGTCTGAGCTACCTGAATGTAGAAGTTCTCAAAACTCAAAAATTGGTCTACTTAAGATGTATGTAATTTGGCTAGGTGTGGTGGCTCATACCTGTAACCCTAGAATTTTGGGAGGCCAAGGTGAGAGGACTGCCTGAGCCCAGGAGGTTGAGACCAGCCTGGGCAAGATGGCAAGACCCTGTCTCTACAATAAATCAAAAAATTGGATGGGCATGGTGGTGTGCGCCTATGGTCCCAGTTACTTGAAAGGCTGAGATAGAAAGATTGCCTGAGCCCAGCAGTTCAAGGCTGCGGTAGTTGCAAGTATGTCACTGCACTCCAGCCTCGGTAACAAGTGAACTACCAACTCAAAAAAAAAATTTGTGTGTGTGTGTGTATAATTTACCATATGTAAATTTTATCTTTCCAAAATTAAAAACAAATAATAAACTGGAGTTAGTGACACACATACTAAAGTGTTTAGGGATAGAATGCATAGACATCAGAAACTTACTTTGAAAGGCATTAAAAAATAAAGTGGACTAACAGATGGATAGATATATGATTAGCAACTATAACAAAATGTTAAAGACTATAAATTCTGGGTGGTGGGTATATGAGTGCTCACAGTATTACTCTTTCCACTTTTCTGTATGTCTGAAATTTTTCATAATAAAATGCCAGAAAAAAAAGAATCTACAAGAAAATGGATACAGGCTGATCAGTAAGTTATATAGCATTACATTTTGTTAAGCTTATTTGTATACCTAACCCTTAACTGTACCCCACAATATCATAATAAAAAATATTGATTGTTAAAAAAAATTTTTTTTGTTAAGCTCCTAAAAAATATAATGATTAAGATAAAGGCCTTAGCCCTCACACAAACTGGCTCTGGCACTCACTAGCTAACTACTTAACCTCTGTTCCTTACTTCCTTATCTCTAAAATGGGTATTTCACCTCCTACCTCAAAAACATTGACGTAGAACAAATGGAATAATTCATTTAAGGAATGAGAACTGTGTCTGGTACATGGCAAACACTCAGTAAGTAGCAGCTAATTTCATATTAATTTTTGTGAATACAGTTGGGTGTCGTGGCTCGTGTCTATAATCCCAGCATTTTGAGAGGCTGAGGCAAGAGGATTGCTTGAGTCCAGGAGTTTGAGACCAGCCTGGGCAGCATAGTGAGAACTTGTCTCTTAAAAAAATCATGGTAGTACAGGTCTATGGTCCCAGTTACTTAGGAAGCTGATGTGGGAGGATCATTTGAGCCTAGGAGGTCGAGGCTATGGTGAGCCATGATTGTGCCACTGCACTCCAGCCTGGGCAACAGAGTGAGACCTCAACTCAAAAAAAAAAAAACGTTTAAGTAATCTTTGTGAATACAGGCAGAAATGACAAGTTCATTGACCAAAACACAGCAGACTCTAATTTACAGGTCTTTGCTCAAATTGAATCCTTTTCCATGAGATCAAAGAATTCATTCAGCGTTTTTTCTAATTTATAAGTCCTACCCAACACTCTCCTTTTGGTCTTTGAAAAGCTCACAAAGCATCCCCACTGACTCTGAAATGCACAGCACTGAGACCAGTGCTTTTGAAAGCCAGTGCTCAAGAAGTTCTTTGTCAAAGCCATGGATCTACCTCTGTCGAGGTCACATCACCATACATTTTCAAAGGCTATAGGAACTGCTAGGTGCAACAAAAAGGTAATGAAGTCCATGTGGTTAAACTGGCAGCAGGACAGGTGAGTAGGATCCTGCCAGTGAATCTCAAGGCTACATCAGAAGGTTCTACAAGGTATCTGTTCCTCTGAAAAATTCACTTCTCAGAGCCCATGAGGGCGTCCAGCGTGTGGGATGTCAACCACATCTGGGGATCTGGACAGCTTCCTGATAGACACAAACGTGAGACTTCTGGGTCACATAACGTATAGACATCCCTAGTGTAAGTGTCATGCAGACGCCACCTCTGCTTGCAAACTCTACTCAGTCCCTTTTATATTAAATTCTCTGATGTTTTGAAACCATTAAATATATTTTTCCACTGGAATGATCTATGCCCAAATCATAAAAATATTCCCTGACCCACAAAAATGTGTCTGCAGTTAGTCAAAATTTTCCATCCACCATAAATGCTTAAAATCTTTAGTAAAAGAAGACTTTCCATCGACCATAAATGTGCCATGCCCCTTGCTAGCAGTTATAAATTATCTTGAAATTATCAATTTTCTGGTAGAACAAGTCAGATTGACTCAGAAAAAAAAGACAGAATAGGGAAAAAGCTATCAGTGGCACAAGAGGGGAGAAGGAGTGGAAAAGGAAGAGAAACAGGTTGGGAAGATGAATTAGAGAATTAACAGAAAACTTAGCGTGACCCATCCAAAATTGAGCAAGAAGGCACAGAATTCCAAAGCCATCTTAAGCGTAGGTTGGAAAGGGAGGAATGGCAAGAAACCATCACCCAAAGTCAAAAATAAATACCACACACGGGTGTCAGGGACAACTGTTAAGGGCCAGTGAGATGAAAAGCCATATCAGACACTGTCCATGAGCTCTCAGGGCTCAGGAAAGGCACGTGAATGCCAAAGCCAGTTGGAAAGTAGAAATCTAACAGGGAGAACAGCCAAGTGTGCACCCATGAAAACTGTACCCTTAGTTTGGATCCCAGACTGGAGGCCACTGAAGGCAGAGAGGACATCCCTGAGCCCGGAAGTGCCTTTCGAACGTGCACTCAGGAGTACCACGGTACTTCTGTCTGGGCAACAGAGTGTGACCTCAACTCAAAAAAAGAAAGAAAGAAAAAGAAAAAGAAACGGGCAACACATATTTGGAAAACTAAAGAACTGTTTCATCCTTTACTGATTTTTCCCTAGATTTTCTGGTCAAGATGTAACTTTGGCAAATGTGTATGTAAAATGTGTACGGTTTGAAGCTATTAATGGCTTACTAGGAATGGTCTTGAGTGGTGGGGCTGGGGGGA